ACCCAGGCAACAAATCGACCGTAGGAGTTTTGGTACACAGCTCGTGAGCGCGCGCTCACCGTGTTGCGTTTAATCTCCGCCACTTTCTTCTCCAGCTGGCTCCAATTGACGTTCGTCATGGTAGCAAAGTATGAAAAGATGAAGTCAGGTATTCTATGGGAGAAATCCAGGACACCGTGTCCTACAAATTCCGAAAAATCTAACCTTTGCACTGGCTCAATACAAACCCTTTGTCAGTTGATATTGATAAAATCATTTCCAATTGGAAATTTGAGGACTCTGTGTCCTACAAATCTGCGAGCAGATGGGTACATGTCCTACAAAATCTGTAGAATGACATTTTGCTCTGACTTACCGGATCGTGCACGAACTCATGCATATTTCATTCTGGAATTGTGGTAAAACTCAAATTTAATTTATAATTGCACACTATCATATTTACGGATAGCGGTGGATTTCGATAATTCGTTATCCCGCTAATACAAATCTAAAACTATTATTTTATTCTTTCCGGGCCCTGAATATGATTGCTGGATATTATTACAAACACCGACAACGCACTGTTGGCACCCAAAATCTACAAAGTCGCGCATTAATACTTACCCCAACACCGTGAAAACTAAGGACAAAAAATTGTACCAAATGCTAGAGCCTTGTCTTGGCATCATTATCGAGTTATGTGGTATTACTGCCATGGTCATATACATGTACTACCTAAAGGGTTCTGTACGTGGTATAGTTTTCGTAGTAACTACTGTAATCCAACAGGGCGAAAATGTATTGCGAAATTTGTCACTAGTAACAATGCATACAAGAGTTTTGTCCTGGATTCCAGGACAAAGACTCAATTCAACTTGGGTTCGTTATGTGGCACTTCACGTTTGGAGCCTCCATAGTACCTCTGTCAGAAATAGCTGTTATATATGACATATCGCACTTTAGCTGTATCGAAGAGCCTCCATACAAACTTCAAGTTAGGATTTGTCCTATAAGCTCCATGGTACTTAAGCGACGTTTGGTCCTTTCTTCCAGGACAAAAAATGTTGGGGTTACACACGGCGAATTGTTTGGAATTACCACTTTTTTGGTCTCATCAACAATTACTAGAGGCGATACTTTGGTCTGGGACGACAGGGAGTTTTTAAATCAGTATTTAGGACATCTCAGGGTCTTAAAGATTCCTAAAATACCCTCAATATTGATTTGATGCTACTAAGGTCCAGGAGAGCTGGTGCAAGCGCGCGTAGAGAAAACAAACCGCGCGAGGTACCCTCGGAGCTGGACTGCCCGGTATTTGCGAAGTAAAGTCCAGGAATAAGCTCCGCTTTGAGCCGCGCACTGCACAGGCCAGTTGAGAGAATTATTTTTTTTTAGGAGAGTTTCGAACATTTTTAGAGGGATGACATCGAATAATATGTGTAGGATTTGTTTACTACAGTAAAATTGTGTTCGTTGCATTCGAGGGAGGTGGCTAACGCGACTTTGAAAGCTTCCCTCTTATACCTATTTATACCATGAGCTAAAAGCTTGGAATCATTACGATCGCTTTTAGAATTCTATATTGTTTTGTAAGAAGAAAAGCCATTATGACTGCTCGTAAAGTGTGTTAATAAATACTTGCGCACCAGCGTCACTCTTGTGAGTCAACACAAAATAGCTTTCCTCGTTAGTGTAGTTGTAGGGGTAAAAGCAACTTCTTTTCAGCAAGAGCTTACGGATCATCTTCAACTCGATCTTATGGATGGGATGACCCCCCCCCCCCAATAATGGATGGGACCGTAAGCTCTTACTGAAGTCGGCGCATGGATCTTGAGCCACTGGTCATCTTTGACGGAAGTGCTTCAACTGACGCCTTGTAGAACCTCGTGTACTGTTTGAGGGTATCAGATGCACCGCTCTCCGTTGAACTGAATTGTGGGCGTATCCACTCCTGCCCGCTACATGTGTGACGCTCCGCCGGCTCTCAGTGAGTGCGGACTAAAGTCTGCCGGATCATCGCCAAGCTCCACCGGCGCCTGGCGGATCACCTTTGATATCGCAGACGATGACACGCAGTCTGGATGACTGTGCGCGCTGACAAACACCACAATCGGGATGTCAGCCGGCAGCGGGTGTCTTGCCTTGAACAGACATAGAGCCCCGAAGCCTGGACAGAGGAAACCGTGGCCCGAGCGATTCAGCATTCGGAGTGTTGGTTCACCCCGCTGGTTTGTCTTGGAGCCTCGCAATCGAATGTGAACAGACGTGGCTCCGCGAGCGTGAGCGGTTGCGGAGCCGGGATAGTCAACCAGGATGACATCTCCTGCTCTGAGCGGGAACAAGCAAATTGCTTGCCTAAAGACGCAATCTCCGACCGAGTATGAAGAAGAAGGAGAGACACAATACCCCCCC